TGTATCTATGTATATTGAGAGATTATTTACAAAAAATGTCATTCCTATTAATATAACGATCTCCTTTTATTTCAAAATAATCTATTCTATTGACTTCTATGGCTAAAGCCAATATTATCATTTATGTATGAGCTGAGAATTTTGATATTAATAGAGGGATTAAATATTATCAAGAAATTTATTGAGTAGATTATGAGAAATGAGAAACAAACTAGAGTGTTTATCATTTCTGATGATTGGTCTAATATCCAAAATGGAAGCTTGATCAATATTATGATTAATAATCTTTGCCATACTTTTTTCTTAAAGTCTATCGAAGCATCACATTAGATAAAGAAATTGTGTACAATTTTAGATTATTGATAATTTTAGTAGAAAAGGAATGACCACTACATAAGTTGCTATGGAGAAAGCTCAAATTTGCTTCAGGAACCTTTATTCACTTTGTGAGAGTCACACACACACATAGCTGGAAGTCAGAGGTCCATACCACCTTCCTAACCCTTTGCTCCTAGGGATCGTAGGGCAGAAATTTCTTTTTAAAAACTCTACAGAAGGGAAGGGGCCTATGTATTTGCATGGCCCCTATAGATTTGACCCTATCTATACCCGGGGCCAATCCCGTAACGGTCCTACCACCACGCTACAGAATGCGAGCTCCTGTGGAAACTTGGATTTTTGGCGTCACAGCGGCGGAACGTCAAAAAATCTGACGACTATGTTACATGGGGACCTAAACTACGGGTAACTCGACCACAATATATACTAGGAGAGCATATAATGATTCAAGTCATCACCGATAGTGCTAATGCTCATAAGACGTCTATGAGTAAGGTGAAGAAGAAGAGAAAATAGATGCCATATTTGGCACATTACGTAGACAGAAAAATTGAATAGTTGCTTCAACACAAGAATGCTTTGAGAAAAACAAATACGATTAGCAAGTTATTCTATATATATATTCATGTGTTTTGGGCTTTAATAATAAAATTTTATTAGAAACTTTCTCTACAAAGCATATTGAAAGCAAGACAACCTTTGGAGGCTATGCTCAGCTTTACATGTTGGCTTTTCTATGCTTTGGCCAAGGAAACCTAAAGGGAAAGAATTTACGAAGATTTTTTTTTTTTTTATGAAATATTATAGTTAGGTATTAATGATACAAAAACAACAACAAAACCATTTGTTCAAGTTTTAAGGATGGTTGATGCGAATAAAAGGTCAGCTATGAATTTATAATATCATATAGAATGAGACTAAGGAGTTGATATCACATAATTTAGGCGGAAGAGGTCAACTATAAGAAATTTTGAAAAATAATAATTAATTAACAGGAGCTTCAGTTTCATTTTCATTTACAAGCTATAGAATATTACCTTAATCCTTAATTTCAATACGTTGAGAATAAGTTGACCAATCTTGAGATGAAATTTGCTTTTTATCATCATATGTATGGATTGATAGCCGATTCAATTGAGTGGGCGACAGTTACTCTGCAACTTATCAAATTTTAAAATAAGGAACGATTATTTGGACTATATCAATTTGAAGATACAGCTATAAAATGTTTCCTAAATAATTTTTAACATTTTTTTGTTGAATAAAAAACGGTTCTACCAAATTTAATCGTACTTTTTTTTTCAACCTGGTTTGAATGGTTGATTCAATTTGTTGATGACACTCCAGAGTTATAATGATTTGCAAATAAAATATTGGGTCTTACATGTTCATCATTTATTTGTGAAAGAACTTAGAGTACATACAAACAAATTCCTACCAGAAGGAGAATTTCTTTTACTAGCTTCAGGATTAAGTTTTTTATTTTTCATCACGTACAATAAAGGTTCAAAAGATACTTCTTCGCCAAACAAAAAAAAGAAGAAGCTTTAATGGATGACAGAGACCATTTAGTTTATATTGGCATGCTATTAGATGAAGATTTGTTTGTGGTTGATGATGTTTGAATGGTGGATTCAATTTGTTGATGACACTCCAGAGTTATAATGATTTGCAAATAAAATATTGGGTCTTACATGTTCATCATTTATTTGTGAGAGAACTTAGAGTACATACAAACAAATTCCTACCAGAAGGAGAATTTTTTTTCCTAGCGTCAGGATTAAGTTTTTTATTTTTCATCACGTACAATAAATGTTCAAAAGATACTTATTTGCCAAAAAAAGAAAAAGAAGCTTTAATGGATGAAAGAAACCATTTAGTTTATATTGGCATTCTATTAGATGAAGATTGGTTTGTGGTTGATGATAGTGAAGTTACACAATTTTATTTGTAAATAAACGATTTCAATATTGATTTTCTTGATGGGTATAGAAGCAACAACAATAGGTCTATCACAAGCCACTAAGAAATTAACATAAAATTCATCTATAATAATTTGTATAATTGAAGTTGTAACCATCAATATAGTCATTGTTTTAAACCTTAATTAATATTTTTATTAATTATTATTGATTTGAAATGTTATGATTATAATTGAAGATGAGGATTGGGAGAACAGTGATATAATTGAGGTTGTGGTGGTAGGAAAGTTCATTATGTCGGTAATTTTAATGAAGATCTTCTGAGATGAGAGTGATTGTGATTTTTGAGCTTAGAAATTTTAATTTTGGCAACTTAGTATACTTTTACTTTGTTTTAGTCTGTTGAGAGTGATTGTGATTTTTGTAGTCTGTAAGCGAGATTTACTTTGTTGAATTAATATATTATTAGTTCTTATTTTGATATTTTTATAGTTTTTCTTATTTTATGATTTGATTCTAGAATGTTAATAGTTTTCTTCTTATTTCTTTTGATTGATTGGTTGATTTTTTTATTTTGTCACTTGAATGTTCATAAGATGTGAGTTTATTATTGTGTATGCAATGATCCAATTCAAGACTTTGGCAACAACTTTCAAGAATCTTTCCAATTGAGTAGTTTTCATGCACAACCTCGTGTAATTTAGGGATTCTGATGCTTACATCTCAAAAGGCTCCAAAGCTTTTAAGTGTTATCTCACGACAAAAATGTCTCAATATCTGATTGCATAATTTTAAAACTTAGGCATAAGTATCTACAAGATTACTAAGTTGGACTTGTACGAAAATCTATGATGTAGTGGGCTAATATAACTTGACCCATCCTCCATAACCCTAAAAATCTGTAGATAGAATTCTAAGGGGTTGTTTGGTTGCATGTATTAGGAGTATATGTTTTTTGAAATGCAAATTTTACATTTTTGATAGTTTGGTTGAATGAAAAATAAATGCTGAGTAATTTTTAAGAATTTTGAAATACATCCTATAGCTCATTTTTGAGGAACTAAATATTTGTAGCATGCAAATTTCAAGTACTAAGCTCAAACCCCAACTGCCTTAAATGTGACACTATCTTGCGGCCCACAATTGTTTCGACATGCAATGCCAACCTTTTACCAGAGATTACACCCAAGTGACTTGAGCCTGCAACCTGCAATGTTCTTGCATGCGTCCCAGCTTACGACCTTGCCATCACCACTTGTGATGCCATCCTTGACCTTGTCTTTATCATAGAGTGCAGCTATGACCACATTGGCTAATATCCTATAGCTCATTTTTGAGGAACTAAATATTTGTAGCATGCAAATTTCAAGTACTAAGCTCAAACCCCAACTGCCTTAAATGTGACACTATCTTGCGGCCCACAATTGTTTCGACATGCAATGCCAACCTTTTACCAGAGATTACACCCAAGTGACTTGAGCCTGCAACCTGCAATGTTCTTGCATGCGTCCCAGCTTACGACCTTGCCATCACCACTTGTGATGCCATCCTTGACCTTGTCTTTATCATAGAGTGCAGCTATGACCACATTGGCTAATCCCACATGTTGTAGCCAGCCTTGACTACTAATGTACTTATAAAATTTCAATACAATTTTGTTGGAATGAAGAAGTATTAGACTTAAGATTACTTTGATTACTACGCTAGCAATTGATCTCATCACAAATAGTGGATCCACCTCAAAGTAAATCTTCTTTTTTTTTTCTTCCGCAAAATATTTTATTCTTTTGCGTACGATTTACTAAAGCATTCATTTCTCAAGTTACAAGAATTCATTAACTCATTCAAATATTAATCAAAATAACCTCAAACATTTTTTTTATCTCAAAATAATTATTAATAAAAGCTTTGGGGTCTACCAAACCTAATTCAAACTTGGTTGTTTTCGAGATTACAAAAAGTAGGAATTTTTTTACCTAGAAACAAGACTCGACCTCATCCGTCCTACATCATGCCTACTCTTTTAGTTCCTAGCTCTCATGCTCTAGTCTGTTCGTGATGAGGAACAATGGAGTTGAAATGAGATATTCCAAGTGTTAATTTGAGTAGTTATTCAATTAAAATTGATATCCTTTAAATTAATTTAACTGTTGCCATCCATCATCTATCCACCGGTGCATGTCAAAAGAGAGATAAAACCAAATGGTTGCATTACTCTAGTGTAAAATAAAATTATTTTATGAATTGTGATATTAAATATTAAGTTGAACTATAGCTAGATAATTTAATTTACAAATGCTAATATGCACACTGTACTGTTAGATAGATATATATATATATTCTTCTGAATTCACGCTATCATTGGGCCTTTATCTTTGCTCTAAAGTTATGCATTTTATTTTCAGCTAACCACAAACACAAAAAGCGATATTTCGCATTGAGTTTGCTACCGACCAAACAACCTTAAAAAAATTTAAGGCTTCAAGATTCTGTTCAAATTACACCTAAGTTCTAAATATTTGCAATAAAATAACCCCTAAATAAATTATTGTATGATTTCCAATATCATTCAAGCGGTTGGAAAATTTTCTAGAGAAGGAATGCTAGGAATATTATGCTAGAAGAGAAAAATTTTGCTTACCCTTATAATATCAAAAAGCTGCCAATCATGTAAATTGTTCTCATATTGCATCATCCATACATTTTACTCAACTCTGGCTGACTGCTGCCATTCTTTAGGAGTAACTTTCAAATTCTGTGTGTATGATGAAAGCGATCGGTTATCAGTCCGTACTGAAGAAAAGACGCTCTACACACAAGAAGATTTCCATGAATTTCTGACTCGTCGCTGTTGGACTAGCCTCAGAGAGATCAACTCCTTGAGAACTGCAGATACTTTGGATGATCTTCAACCTGGAGCCGTGTATCAAGGGCTGCCTGTTACAAGAGCAATCTGACCTTGGGTAGCCATCCCCAGTCTGATCTATAATAGAAAACCAAAACAGGTTTCTCATGTTCCTCACCATTTTTTAGGGCGTTAGGTTTCTTCGGGAGCTGAATTTAATCGTGCTTTGCTGGGATCTGCAAATGCTCCAATTACAGCAGTCACGCTTCATATCATTCCGGTAACTCAAATCTGGATCTGCTCCTTGTATCCCTGCATGAGAAAAAAAATATCAGTTGAGTAAACTATTGTATATAATATTTTTCTGGATGATGTTTTTGGCTGTAAAATTATTATTATGTTTTACACCAGCACTGTTGCGTAGAAGCACTGAGAAAAAATGTTCAAATAATATTCAGGATTAAGCTAATGAAGAAATTGTAAACTCGGTGCTACTGCGTTACAGATAAATATTAGGAGTTTTAGTTTGCCAGTCCATTGTGTTTGCTGGCAAGGTTTGAGTGTGTGGCACTTGTACGTCGATGGTGAATGCAACCAGCTGAGATTTATGTATTAGCTTCCCGAGTCTCCACTAATGCATTATTTAAGACATCCCTATCATTGCTTAAGCCTATACTGTTTGATTTACATTTATGGCAAATTTTTAACTGGTTGATTAGTGAACCAGAAATAAAATTTCACCCTTATCAAATCATGTCATAGCTTTGACTTTGGACGAAGATACTTTCCTCACAACTTCTCTCATTTTTTTTATTTTTTTTTTATAATTGGAAGGTTTTCAATATCTTTTATATAAAAAAGAGGGATGATTTCCTCTCCTTATTTGAAGAATATGATCGCTCTACTTGTGATGTCATTTGTCTACTGCTTTATACGAGGGCTATACGCAATCTAAGCTTGTATTAAACTTCTATCCTTTTCTTCCCAAATTTGATGTTAATCCTGCTTAAGCTTATTATTTTTGTATATATTGTATGATTTTAGTTTGGGGCGTCTACATGCATACCCCACAATTCTTTAGTTTTTACATATCTAACACATTTAAATACTCATATTTGCATGCATATCACTCAAATTTTTAACATCACATCAAAAATATTACCGTCATTATCTTTTTAGGAGCGATACCCATTTTCATGCATAGATTTACGATAACAAGGTGTGATAAATGTAAACAACAAACTTTGGGTGTAGGACATGTAAATGTACAAGAATGTGTGGTATGTAGGTTATGGTATGAAAATTATTTATTTTGCAAACCATGCGGAGTAAGCTCAATCCAGCTGATCTGCTGGTTGGTTATGTAATACAGAGTGTTGTCTCTTTGCCTCACACATATTATTTTTTACCCTAATTCTCCGCAGGATGGTCTCCGCAGGATGGTCTCCTGGGCAGGATGGTCTCCTGGACGGAAAAAATTTGTGTGTGATAGACGTACGCAGCGCTGCGTGCGATATTTGAGTATACCGAGGGTACAAGGGGGTTATATTCGTGGTATAAACCCTTGTAACCTCGAGTAACCTCCCTGTAACTTACGTGTAACCTCTTAATATATGATAACAGAAGCGCGAAACTTATTTTAGGGTATAGATAGGTTATAGAAAGTTACGAGGAGGTTATAAGAGGTTATACCGCGGATGTAACCTCCTTGTACCCTCGGTATAACCCCAATATCGCACGCAGCGCTGCGTACGTCTATCGCACGCAAATTTTTTCCCTCCTGGACAGCTTCTAACTCGAAATTCTTCAAAAAAATGGTTGCAGCAATTGAGGTCTCTATAGCTGTGAAATGCAAACTTAGGCATTATGATCAGCAACGCATTGTACTTGAAGATTACTGATTATATAGTAAGTTCTCCATGGCTTAGTCTTGAAAAATATTAATTAATTTTGTACCTATGCCAAGTGGCAGGATTTCAATTAATATGCGGTGAAAGGCTCTATCACTTCTATAATATAATTGAAATATGAAAAGAAATAGGTACAATTTTCATATTATACATGGATATGCGAGGAGTACCAGCTAGCCTTAATTTTACCACTGTTTAGCCTCACTCCACTGAATATTCCTATTTACATCTGGCAATTAAATTTTAATTTTTGTAAATATTCCACTCTAGCCTACCTATTCATGAAATTATGTATTTCTTTTTTTTTTTTTAAGTTGGGAGTGGTAATTTTGATGTGATATAAAAGATTTTGGTGTTAGTAATGTAAAAATAAATAAATAAATAAGAATTGGATGCATTTAAATGACATTAAATTATAATATAATTTTAACTATATATGCTCCCACTGTTTCCATGCATACAATGGGAATTCACATCATCCACCATCTCTAAATTTGAAGGGAGGCTCATGGATGTTGAAGTCTTCTAAAGGCAACATACATTGGAGGCTTTGGTGATGTCAAAATTGGCCTACAACATACATTGGAGCCCCCAGTCAATCCCATGATGGGCAGTATGATAATGATTTTGGTCATGCCTTGTACAAAATTTTTTGGGTGGACCTTCACATGCATTTAGCTGGATGATGTTCCATAATCTAAAAGGATTTAATGAACTATAATTAGTTCAAGTGAATAAAAAAGGTTTGGGTTAAAATGTTTTGTTTTCAAGTCGTAAGAGAATAAATAATGTGTCCTTCTATTAAGCTTACACTTAAAGCTTTCCTTGAAACTATTATTTGGAGACAATTGATGATAGCCACTTTGGTGAACTATATTTGATTTGATTTTTCATATAAATTTTCAAAGCAGAATGGATGTGTGGTATAATGGATGCATGGATTTTAATTATGGTGTTCTTGCATATTGTGAGAAGAGATTAGACTTTTTGGCCCAAAAGATATTAGACACCTTTGATTTGAACTTTTTAGAAGGTGGAATTGCACCCATACATATTTTTGTAGATTTGTTAGTATCTTCTAATTTTTGTATGTGAGTGTGCAATTTTTAGGTTGGCTTAATTCTTACGTTATCTGAACTGGTTGACTTTTTTTTTTATAAGTTATGCTATGTAATGAAATATATTTTTTTATTATTTTTGTAGCCTTTCTTTAGTATTGTTGATTAGGAAAAAGGTTACCATTATAATTTTATTAGCCATTTGGTTATTGAGGGAATGAAAATACTAGAATTTTAGAGAATATGTGGAAGTTAGATCTAGAGTAGATGGTGTGTATGCATGCGCGGGCGTGCGCGCGTGTGTGTTATTTTTGTTGATCTTACTCATTTGGTTAAGCATTTCTCTTAGCTTATAACCAATCTCCTTAGGATATAGACCTATTTTCTAGTGTCACTAGATGACTGAATTTAACTCAGTAAGCTGTAACTTGAATCCCACTTGAACTAAAACTCAAGATACCCCTAATTTAACTTAAAATTAAAATCTAACTAAATAAAAATTGAATTAACCAAACTAAAATGAAACCAAACATAACCAACTTCTTCTAAACCAAAAATTGTACTAAAAATTATCTTAAACTAAAATACACACCAAAATATTTTCTCCACAGATCATCAAAGTGCTTGAAACTTCAAAGCAAAAGTTATATATAAGGATTATGAAAATTGGTTTGACAGTTATAAGACATAATTTTTATTTAAATCTTTTAACTTAGAATTTTTATGCATAATACTCATATCACCCAAGAATTATCATTTTCTCTACAGATAAATACAATGATCAAAATTTTATTTTGTAAGTTGCATTATGTACATTATCATATATGAGAAGCATGCAAACCAATTTAATGATAATCAAACAATTTTTTTACGTAAACATTCATGTTTTGAGTTTTCAGCATGGAAAATGTTCATACGTACAAAATTTTCAATAAATCATTATTTTTCAAAATACACTATGCAAGGGCATCTGGATCATCAAAACATTTTGATGAACCCCTCCATGCCCAAATCAGACTTTGTTTGAGAGCTTGTTAAGCCTATGATGATTTGGATGGTAACTTTGATCATAAAAGAATATTCCTAATGACTCACTCAAAATGGGCTCAAATCAAAATTACCAAACTTCAACTAAAGTGAATGTGAACAAAAATGTTGAGTCAAATTAGTCAAAACCCATTAAAAATTTTTATTCAAAATCTATTAAAATGTTCTCTCATAGGGTGGGGCCTACACTCTGAATTAAAATTTCTTAAGATATGACTCACATTGACTAAGAAAAACTTCACTTCTCTCAATTTTTTTTATCCAAATGAGCCAAGGTCAAATTTCTTATCATAACCAACCCCAACCATTTATAACCACCTAGCCACTTTGAATTGAAATATCTCGAGATAGAGATGCCCACAACCAAAACTAATTGATTCAATGGATTTCTTAAAGTTTTTTCTTCTAAATAAGCTAGGGTTGTAATTATGGCTATAAAAACCTCCAAGTACCCCCTCCCACAATTCAAAATTCCCCCCTAAATTTCAAAATGTTCTCTCTGGCATTCATAACTTCTCGCTCCACCCTTTCCCTTCATAAGTGGCCAAAACCCACAATTCCCCTCATTCCATTCCATATCCCACCCTAACCAAAACCTTCCCTCTTTCCAATTAACTCTCATCTCTCCCTTAGAACAAAAATCCTCCATCAATCCTCCCTCTCCCTCTCCTTCTTTCTCTACTCTTGGCTAAAACCCTAAAAATAAAGGACATTTCTCCCTTCATTCAGCAAGCAAGGATAAAGGGTCTCTTTTTATCTAAACAAGCAAGGTTAATCCCTCCCTTTCTCTTGTTATATATATATATA